TCAGTATAACCTCTCAAGCAGGTCAGTATACCTCTCAAACATGTCAGTATACATCTCAAACACGTCAGTATACATCTCAAGCACGTCAGTATACCTCTCAAGCACGTCAGTATACATCTCAAACACGTCAGTATACATCTCAAGCACGTCAGTATACCTCTCAAGCAGGTCAGTATACCTCTCAAACATGTCAGTATACATCTCAAACACGTCAGTATACATCTCAAGCACGTCAGTATACCTCTCAAGCACGTCAGTATACATCTCAAACACGTCAGTATACATCTCAAGCACGTCAGTATACCTCTCAAGCAGGTCAGTATAACTCTCAAGCAGGTCAGTATACCTCTCAAGCACGTCAGTATACCTCTCAAGCACGTCAGTATACCTCTCAAGCACGTCAGTATACATCTCAAACACGTCAGTATACATCTCAAGCACGTCAGTATACCTCTCAAGCAGGTCAGTATAACTCTCAAGCAGGTCAGTATACCTCTCAAGCACGTCAGTATACCTCTCAAGCACGTCAGTATAACTCTCAAGCACGTCAGTATACCTCTCAAGCACGTCAGTATACATCTCAAGCACGTCAGTATACCTCTCAAACACGTCAGTATACCTCTCAAGCAGGTCAGTATACCTCTCAAGCAGGTCAGTATACATCTCAAACATGTCAGTATACATCTCAAGCACGTCAGTATACCTCTCAAGCACGTCAGTATACCTCTCAAGCACGTCAGTATACCTCTCAAGCATGTCAGTATACCTCTCAAGCAAGTCAGTATACCTCTCAAGCACGTCAGTATACCTCTCAAGCACGTCAGTATACCTCTCAAGCAGGTCAGTATACATCTCAAGCAGGTCAGTATACATCTCAAGCAGGTCAGTATACCTCTCAAACACGTCAGTATACCTCTCAAGCACGTCAGTATACCTCTCAAGCACGTCAGTATACCTCTCAAGCACGTCAGTATACCTCTCAAGCACGTCAGTATACCTCTCAAGCACGTCAGTATACCTCTCAAGCACGTCAGTATACCTCTCACGCACGTCAGTATACCTCTCAAGCACGTCAGTATACCTCTCAAGCACGTCAGTATACCTCTCAAGCACGTCAGTATACCTCTCAAGCACGTCAGTATACCTCTCAAGCAGGTCAGTACACATCTCAAGCTGGTCAGTATACATCTCAAGAACGTCAGTATACCTCTCAAGCAGGTCAGTATACCTCTCAAGCAGGTCAGTATACCTCTCAAGCTGGTCTACTTTAGTATGCCACTCAAGCCTATCAGAATACCTCTCAGGCAGGCCAGTATACCTTTCAAACTAGTCCCTACACATCTTCAGTTACGAGGAAAATTCCCTTCACGAGCGCCAATCACTTAAGGATCAGGCAGGACCTTGAAAGGCGGGGCACCATTACTTAACTCCTGCTGGTGCTGTGACTTATAACTCGGCACGTTCGTCAGTCATGCAGTGTGTGACGAGTCGATCACTTCCAAAGATTAAAGAAGAAGAAAGTTCGATCGAGGATTTGATATCCTTTAGTTACAAGATGGTTATATATATATATATATATATATATATATATATATATATATATATATATATATATATATATATATATATATATATATATATATATATATATATATATATATATATACTCAAAGACAAGATAACATACATGTGATGCTGAATAAAAATGGTTATCAACTGGGCTCGAGAGTAAAGATTCTGTACATATAGGGGAGACAGCCTAACACGTACTATTAATTATAACTGGTGTCTGAACTCATAGTAAACACGTAAATGTTCACAGATAGAAATATTTCCTTCCCAGAAGTTTGATAAATTACATAGATGTTGACATTTTATTACAATTTCGTCGTGAAGACAAACAAATTCTAAAAAGATGCAGATAACATGAAGGTCAGGGTAAACAACCATGTGACGCCTGACACTCCCACGGGGTAACCTGCATTTGTTTACGTGTCCGGCACACCTTCGTCAATACTGCAGAAGGGCTGAGGTAGGGGAGGGCGGAGGTAGGGGAGGGCGGAGGCGAAGGCATTTGACAAAGTCTGGCACGACGGTCTAAAATATAAGATCCTCCAACTTGGACTTCCCGCCAACATTGAAAAGTTGCTATGCAACTTTCTTGACGGCAGGAATGCCAGACTGAGGGTAGGACAACACACAGGAGAGGCCTTCCCACTCATGAGTGGAGTCCCACAGGGGAGCGTCCTCTCCCCCACCCTATATATTATCTACACAAGTGACACTCCGCCTCCCACTAGAATTGGTAACGAAGATATTATGTATGCAGATGACATCACTCAAATAACAACACATCAAGGAAAATCGCGAGCGTTACAGGCCGACAACACCAGGCGGGAATTAGAAAGGGTAAATAATTACGAAAAACAATGGAAAATCCAAACCAGTCTCCCGAAATTCACAGTGATACCCTTATGCAGAGGGAAAACCCATCCATTAGTAACCAATAATACCCAGATAGAATACAAAAGCAGAGGCACCCTCCTGGGCCTGCATATATCCACGACAGGTTACTCCCATCATGTCCACACCAGGAAGGAAAAAGCAAGAAAAGAGCGGAGAAAACTATACTGCTTTAAAGCGCTTCCTGAGAAAATAAAACTCCGCCTAATGACATCATTTATCACACCGATATTAACTTACCCAGCAATACCTCTTCATACTATGAGCACCACTCAAATATTAAAATTACACGTGGTTCAAAATGAAGCCCTAAGATTCGTCACAGGCGAAAGATACCCCTTCACCAGAACCACAGCCGAGATACATAGAGACCTGAGAATGAAACCCATCAACCAGCAGCTGCACACCCTGGCCAGCAGAATCTGGCAAAAGATAGAACGATCAGAGCAAGAACTCCTTCAAAGACTCCCACCAGATAACGACAGCAACCATACATGGTTCCCAAAAAGTTACCAAATCTCAAAAGGTCCATTACCACCCCTGATCTACACGGCCAGGCAATAGACAACCTCCCTAGACCAGCATCCGCCAGTAGGGTCGGCGGAATATGAAATAAGGCCCTTAAAACACCCATATATGGGACAGGGTAGGATGTCTAGTGCCTGTACCGACAGACAATAACTAACCCATGACACAACCCTAACACACTATTAGCTTAGCTAGGCGGTCAGCCCGCCCTCTCTTACCTCCTCCTAAACTTCTTCAATTTCCGAACTATAACTTCCTTCCCCCACCTCTAATCTTTTCATCCTCTCTACAAAAAGTAGGGGAGGTGGAGGAGGGCGGAGGTAGGGGAGGGTGGAGGTAGGGGGAGGTGGAGGTAGGGGAGGGGTGGAGGTAGGGGGAGAGGTGGAGGTAGGGGAGGGTGGAGGAGGGTGGAGGTAGGGGAGGGTGGAGGTAAGGGGAGGGTGGAGGTAGGGGGAGGGAGGTAGATGGAGGGGGTGGCGAGGATGCACACAGACGCCTGGTATGGAGTACAGTACACACAACACAGGGTAAAACATAATATTCACTGGGCAACAAAGTTTATATCCGTGAACCACTGCTCGCGCGCGCCCACCGTCTCCACACCTACAGCCTCACCTGGTATTGAATTTCCTCCTGGCAGAACTGCATAAGGTCTGCAAGAACTAAAAACTAATAAACACCACAAGACGCCGTCAATACCTTAGACAAGAGCCTTATGACGTCACATTCCGTGTTGTTTGGTTCGCGGAAGAAAGGATATGGCGTCACGTACTTGCATAATAATATACTGTATAATTTTCCATTATTATATTTACTACTGTACTGTACTGGGAACCTTAACAAAGTATCAATTCCCGCGAGATAAAACGTTTAATGTTTTCCATCTCGCTCTGCTTACCTTATTTAGCTACAAATGACGTGAGTCTCAACCCGTGCTGGGAAACCTTTACGTAAGAGCTGTAGAGAGATAGTGCTGGTGGTGACGGAAACGTTACCCAAAACATCAGCCTGCCTGCCTGCCCTCCTACACAAAGGGATATTACTAAACTTACACTTCTTGTACACTAAGTGAAGAAAAAAACGGAATTTGGAGCGATTTTATTTGTTTCATTTACCAAGTCTCAACCTACAGTAATAATAATAATAATAATAATAGCAGTAATATCTATGCCAGTGTGTGTGTGTGTGTGTGTGTGTGTGGATCTTTCCCTTTTTCTATACAGTATTATCTAATGCGTGAGAGTCATAACCAGGAACTACTTACAGTACACCATCCCAACATACGGTAGAGTACAGTACAATACAATCAGGTGGAACAACAGGTAGCATCGATAAAGGATACTCGGTACTATAGAGACGTGGTGAGCCAGGTGTGGTAATAACGTGTAGAAGCTGTCGCCAACACAACCTACTGTAAGTTAACAAGTTGCATTACCCAGTGTCAAGGAAGCGTTTTACCTGAGTGGCTGGTGATCTATGAGTGTTAAACAAATAATAGTACCCCCTCCCCTCTCTCTCCCTCAACACAATCACTCACCCCGGAGACCAACAACTTGTAGCATCCCCCCCCCCCCCCATCCCTACAACCACCCACCCAGCTATCTGAGGTCTTGATCTTGGCCAGGTAAGAAGTATCAGGGAAGGGTAAAAGTACTAGGTATCAGGGAACAAGTTATAGGCAGGTCAAAATACCGGGAACCTGTTGATTTTAAAAAGACGCCGCTTACACGAGACACACACACACACCATGTTCCGGCATCTGCTCTGGGACTCGGAAAGGATAGTATCAGAGGCTAAATTCCCCGATTAAAGAATGCCTCGAGTTACGCTACGGTCGAGTCTTTGTGTATTTCCGACGCCATCTTTATGTGTTCTTGCTTTCCTTTATATTATCTGGAGATGAGATAATGCCTCTAATTTAAGTTAAGGTCTCGGGGTAACTTGACGTCATTAAGAAGCTAAGCCACAGGGCCAGGAAATGACCCGCAATCTGTGCTCTTTCATCATATATTGAGCTGGGGGGGGGGGAGGGAGGGGCAGATAAGGACTTGTTTTGACTTTCAGAGAATAAGTTAATTCGTGCGACAGGAAAGAAAATCTACTGTTTTATGGTTTTTTTACGTTTTATGAAGGGAAAGCGACGAAAAAAGAAAGATTTTCCGCAAGAAAATTACGTAAATGTTTCGTAATTTCATTTGTACAGAAACTAAGAAAAAACAAATATTAAACTAATTTATTTACGTTTATTATGAAGATAACGAGACATTGTGTCGTGACTCATTTCATGCTAATGGTCACTAAGAGTTACACAACATAGCTTAGTCAGTTCACTCCAGCACGAGAGGAAAAAAAACCAAGACTTGCTTAATTTAGGCAACACTGGTATTCTGTGACTAATTATGACCACATACAGTTTTGACCTTTGACCCTAATGCGATTTTGATTTTGACCAACAAATTTATATCAGTCTTCTTGTTGTGTTTTCTGCCCCGGTACACAGTTTGGAATACTGACCATAACGTGAACCGTACCTGAGCAGCCTAACAACAATGATTAGTTCGTTCTCCAAGTTTCAAGTCCATCCATCCATCAGAGACACATCAATAAGGATAACAGGACAAGGTTATAAAAGCATGTTACGGTAATAGTAAAACCAGTCATATCTCCGCTGACACACCAGGAAACATAGCACAGGTGAATAAATTACCCTCCCCCTCCTCACACAGTAGAAAAGTAAAAAAAATTAAGTTTCCTCCAATTTGGCGCCACAGAGCCTACCACCTTGACTCATCTTCTCTACCACATGGGTGACACAATTATACAGTGAATTAAAATAGGAAATGGGAAATGGGTATTAATGATAACGACCGGCAGTGGGAAAGACGAAAGGTACAGCTCACAGGAGACTGACTGTGTAATAAGGAGAGTGACAATGGCGAATAGGAGAAGACGTGTTACAAGTATGATGAAACAATGTGATGATGATGATGACATTATGAAGTGTTTCTCGTAGTCCAGAGGTGTGTGAGAGAGAGAGAGAGAGAGAGAGAGAGAGAGAGAGAGAGAGAGAAGGGTCACGTGTAATGGGTGACACACACATACAGACTCAGATACTTGGACGACCACACACACACACACACACACACACACACACACACACACACACACACACACACACACAAATATTATCAGTCTCACATTTCCTGAGTTTGTTGTTCGTTATAATGTGGTTTCCCCCCAGCCCCACCTCGCTCATTTCTCACAACCCACCATATGACTCATAATGCATCACTCAAGTGTTTCATAATGTATCACTCAAGTGTTTCATAATGTATCACTCAAGTGTTTCATAATGTATCACTCAAGTGTTTCATAATGTATCACCCAAGTGTTTCATGATGTATCACTCAAGTGTTTCTCAATGTATCACTCAAGTGTTTCTCATAATGTATCACTCAAGTGTTTCTCATAATGTATCACCCAAGTGTTTCATAATGTATCACTCAAGTGTTTCATAATGTATCACTCAAGTGTTTCTCAATGTATCACTCAAGTGTTTCTCAATGTATCACTCAAGTGTTTCTCATAATGTATCACCCAAGTGTTTCATAATGTATCAATCAAGTGTTTCATAATGTGTCACTCAAGTGTTTCTCATAATGTATCACTCAAGTGTTTCATAATGTATCACTCAAGTGTTTCTCATAATGTATCACTCAAGTGTTTCTCATAATGTATCACTCAAGTGTTTCATAATGTATCACTCAAGTGTTTCATAATGTATCACCCAAGTGTTTTTCATAATGTATCACCCAAGTGTTTCTCATAATGTATCACCCAAGTGTTTCTCATAATGTATCACTCAAGTGTTTCTCATAATGTATCACTCAAGTGTTTCATAATGTATCACTCAAGTGTTTCATAATGTATCACCCAAGTGTTTTTCATAATGTATCACCCAAGTGTTTCTCATAATGTATCACTCAAGTGTTTCATATGTATCACTCAAGTGTTTCATAATGTATCACCCAACTGTTTCTCATAATGTATCACTCAAGTGTTTCATAATGTATCACTCAAGTGTTTCTCATAATGTATCACTCAAGTGTTTCATATGTATCACTCAAGTGTTTCATATGTATCACTCAAGTGTTTCATAATGTATCACCCAACTGTTTCTCATAATGTATCACTCAAGTGTTTCATAATGTATCACTCAAGTGTTTCATAATGTATCACCCAACTGTTTCTCATAATGTATCACTCAAGTGTTTCATAATGTATCACTCAAGTGTTTCATAATGTATCACTCAAGTGTTTCTCATAATGTATCATGTGTCTTATCCTCCTACGTCACACACACTACTTTTTTTTCCGTTTTACCAATAACTTTCATATTTTTTATTAACATTGTTTATAAATTTTGAACAGTTTTACCAAATTCTCCCGATATATCTTTTTTTTTTTACCTTTACAATTATTTCCCACAAGCGTTCAAGAGTACGAATATTTTTCACAAATTCCCACCACCTAAGTCGATATTTTTTTTTTTACACAGTTGTTTAATAATCTTGTAAATACGTCGGCTCGGATATTCTGATACAATGACTAAGGTGTATTTTCCTGTCCATCGCGAGAAGAAGAAAAAAAATAGTACTAACTTTCTCATACAAAATTCTACGAGACTCCGGGAGCTTGTGAGTCCCCCACACTGTAGCGTGTTTGGGAACCGGATTCTAAAAGGGATATGACTGAAAAAGTTTAAAAGCAACAATGAATTATTAATAATTCACATGTTAAATTTTCCTCCTAAGAAAAATCTAACTAGAGCACTATGGCTACTAGTGATAGTAACGTGAAGAAACATTAAACGGATTACGTACGCTACGAGTGATAGTTAAATTGAAGAAAAAAAAATCTTGTTAAATTCCCAATATAACTGTTGACGTGAGTAAGCAATCATCTGGCAGGTACCTTGACCCATGACACGACAGGAGGATGTATTCTTTAAAAGGCAGCGAGTTTAACTTTCCCACCCTGACTGACGTAAACAACAACAACAACAACAACAACAACAACACCAACACCACCACCCACAACACTCACTTCAGCCACGGTGTTAAGGGAGTCAGCTCTCAGAAGACTCAAGACTCTACCAATTCTTAACTCTTCCTCACAATAATCTTCAGAGGTAAAAAAATAAAAATAAGAGATTTTTTGAGGAATCAGGATCTTGTGGCATATAAGTGATGCTGCCTCCTCGTTCCCATCGTGCAGTCTCTTCCCTCCCCCTCCTTGAGCGACACGTGTAAATATATAGAATCACCTGAAGATTAGGGGGAAGTTAGATTAGATTACGTTAATTTTTTAACGAGATTACGTTAGGTTAGGTTGTTAAATTTTAAGGTAAAATAAGCTGGGGTGGCTAATCTTCATGTGATAAATTACCAAAAGCTTGTCACTAGTAACAACAGCATACAAGACGCGGTGGAATTACGAAACAATAATTAACACAGGAATAACAAGTCAAAATTATGGAGACGCGAATAACTGACAACCTGAGAAGATAAATACAGAATATTGTCAACACAAATCGTACTCAAGGTGTCTACTGTACCCAGGAAGTGAGACATTGTACTCAAGGTGTCTACTGTGCCCAGGAAGTGAGACATTGTACTCAAGATGTCAACTGTATCCAGGAAGTGAGACATTGTACTCAAGTTGTCTACTGTACCCAGGAAGTGAGACATTGTACTCAAGTTGTCTACTGTACCCAGGAAGTGAGACATTGTACTCAAGTTGTCTACTGTACCCAGGAAGTGAGACATTGTACTCAAGGTGTCTACTGTGCCCAGGAAGTGAGACATTGTACTCAAGATGTCAACTGTATCCAGGAAGTGAGACATTGTACTCAAGTTGTCTACTGTACCCAGGAAGTGAGACATTGTACTCAAGTTGTCTACTGTACCCAGGAAGTGAGACATTGTACTCAAGGTGTCTACTGTACCCAGGAAGTGAGACATTGTACTCAAGTTGTCTACTGTACCCAGGAAGTGAGACATTGTACTCAAGATGTCAACTGTATCCAGGAAGTGAGACATTGTACTCAAGTTGTCTACTGTACCCAGGAAGTGAGACATTGTACTCAAGTTGTCTACTGTACCCAGGAAGTGAGACATTGTACTCAAGTTGTCTACTGTACCCAGGAAGTGAGACATTGTACTCAAGGTGTCTACTGTGCCCAGGAAGTGAGACATTGTACTCAAGATGTCAACTGTATCCAGGAAGTGAGACATTGTACTCAAGTTGTCTACTGTACCCAGGAAGTGAGACATTGTACTCAAGTTGTCTACTGTACCCAGGAAGTGAGACATTGTACTCAAGTTGTCTACTGTACCCAGGAAGTGAGACATTGTACTCAAGGTGTCTACTGTGCCCAGGAAGTGAGACATTGCACTCAAGGTGTCTACTGTGACCAGGAAGTGAGACATTGTACTCAAGTTGTCTACTGTACCCAGGAAGTGAGACATTGTACTCAAGGTGTCAACAGTAGAACCCACCAATTAAATCAGGGTATAATACTACAGTAGTTCTCTTACCGTGGGGGGCAGAGGGCAGCACCAACACTGACGATTATCACCAGCTGAAACAATAACAAAATGAGATAGAGTGTCAGAGAGAAGACAGCTGGTCGGTGCAATAAACACACACACACAGTTATCAACAAAAAACCTAACTGGGTGTTAAAAACTAATCTTCTATCTTAATTATGTTTCATGTTTTAATTAAAGTGTGTGTGTGTGTGGTGAGTGTGTGTGTGTGTGTGTGTGTGTTAATCCGTTCTTATACTCAGACATTACTCGCTAGACTCGATGAACAAAAGCATCCTACAACAAACCAGTCAATTTGTGAACAATGGTGGTGTGGGTGATGTAGCCTTACACCCTCCCACAACAACTGGTGCTATAATGACTCATATTATTCTTGCCGCCTCGTGCTGTCAGGGAGATCTTACTGACACACACACACACACACACACACACACACACACCCAAAAGTATATCCTTGTTCATCAGCGTCACTAGGCGAGGGTTTGTGACGACGCTTCAGGCTTTAACCTTGATACTAGCGGCAAAAGTTGTTCATCATCTACACTTGACATCTCCCTCATTATTGGCGCTACTTGTGTCCTTGACAATGACAATGCATCAGAGTCCACAGCAGAGATCATCACAGGACTCAAATATTAGTGGTCCAGGCTGGCTATTACACGCCATCCACCGCCATGTCACCGGAGGGAGTAAATAATAAGAACACGCTTGTACTGTAGCCGAGAGAGGAGAAGGCAGTACTTATCAATGTTCTGACGGCATCAAGTTTGTACATTCACAACGCCATCCCTGAGGCCAGCAATCAGGAGACTCCACAGTGATGATGATGCTAAGGTGAGGCTAGCGTCATCATCTCTGCCCATGAACTGAGTGATACATTTGAGCGAGATGACCTGTATGCACTCTACCTCACAACGTGCCAGTGTAGAAGACCCACAACCGCTGATGTTTCTCGTGTCCACACTCACTCACACCCATCAATACACAAACCACGGACAAGCTGAGTCTCTGATCATCAGTCGCAACAACCGTTAATAACCGTATTTAGACTCGACTAATGTCGTGCACATGCAACTCCTGCAAAGGTGGACACCCTAAAAGGAAAATATTACCATAATTTGTGTCCTCGGTGTTGTTAGTTATGCGGGGTGTCCGCCGCACTCTGGCTATCAGGCCCAGCAGAACTGTACCCAGCAATCTATGTCTGGAGGACAGGCACTTGTCACTGTGTTGGCACCAGTGTCACACTAACACATCTTTGTTGGTGACAGAAAGTTTCACACTAACAGTTGTCAAAATTTTAACTGTGTTCCAGTCAGTGTACCAGCAGCCTGGCTGGTATAAACACACAGCTGTGAAGTGTGTAGAGTAGACCAATGACTAAGAACCTTCATAGAGGCATAAAAATAACTTGCTTAGTTATGTCATGGTATAAACGAAAAAATTAATTATTTCATGAACTGCCTGATGGTCACACTCATTATGTAAAATAGCTGAATATATTAAGCATTACACATAATGGCTGATTACACTGACTATTAAACACTACCAAAGAACATAACAAAGTACAGATACAGGAAAAAGGATAAAGAAAACAATATAACGAGCGGAAAAATAAACTTTAATAACGTAAGAACAAATTTAATGATCTCGTGAGCCACGGATGAGAGGAAACAACTATTAGTCCCTGTCCTAAGGATAGCTGGTTTCTGCCGGGAGATACCCCTAGTCTACCCAGCTGTGAACAGGTACAGAAATTTACAGTTAGGGAGGTGAAGCCAGTTGAGTAGGCCACACTGCCTATAATAGTACACCCGAAACTTAGTATTTATGTGTTGTAATCGTTTCCCCTTAACAGGCCTTGGGGTATATGAGATCAACTTTCACCTCCCTCGCGATTCCAGGTTTACAGTAAATGCACCCCTACCCCCCACCCCTTCACTCTAGTCCGTGGCGGGGCATGAGAGATTCTATTCACTGATTTTGCCAGTATCTAGTTACAGTAAGGTGAAGGGTATTGTGTTGAGGTCTCTTTTTCTGCTCCCGTTGTCTCCCTGACCAAGTTTATATCGTCCAGTTAAACATGTTTTTTCTAGCCCCAAGATGGATCACCTGAAGATTAGACACCCTAACACTATCTGAGGGTTGGGTAAGTTTGTTTAATCATCAGGCGAAATAAGCTGGGGTGTCTAATCTTCAGGTGATCCTATCCAAGATTATAGTTAAACATGGATAATCAACAACTGGTCACTGGCTGTATTTTGTCGTTCTTGGGAAAAAAAGGGGGGGGGGCCACATCTCGCTCAGTAAAAAGTATGAACCATCAGTCAGGTCAGGAAAGGCGGCCATTTGGATGACTAAACGCGGCAGTCAATAAGTAAGGTACGACTCTTGAGAATTTCCGTTCAAGGTTGCAGTACAAAGGGGGAGAGGGGAAAGGAGGGAGGGGAAGAGGGGAGGGGGAGGAGGGGGAGGGGGGGAGGAGGGGAAGGAGGGGAGGAGGGGGAAGGGGAAAGAGGGAAGGGGGAGGAGGAAGGGGAAGGGGGAAGGGGGGGGAAGGGGAGGAGGGAAGGGGAAGGAGGGGAGGGGGGGGAAGAGGGGAAGAGAGGAAGGGGGGAGGAGGGAAGGAGGAAGGAGAAGAAGGGGGAAGGGGGAAGAGGGGAAGGGGGAGGGGGAAGAGGGGAAGGGGGAGGAGGGGGGGGGGGAGGAGGGGAAGGGGGGGAGGAGGGGAAGGAGGAGGGGAAGGGGGAGTGGGGGAGGAGGGAAGGGAGGGGAAGGAAAGAGGGGAAGGGGAGTGGAAGGGGGGAGGAGGGGGGAAGAGGGGGGGAAGAGGAGGAGGGGGGAAGGGGTGAAGGGGAGAAGGGGAAGAGGGGAAGGGGGAGGGGGGGAAGAGGGGAGGGGGGGAGGGGGGAGGGGGAGAGGGGGGAGAGGAAAGAAGGGAGGGAAAGGGGAAAGAGGATAGTGGGGGGGATAGGAGGGAGGTGAGGATCAGCTGCTGACCCATGATAGTTTTTGTACACTCGTCCGCCCAACAACAACACCACTCCTGCCCCCCTCCTCCTCCCTCCCTCCCTCCCTCGCGTCCGATTCCTACCCACTTCCTCCTCCCGCACTTGACTATAATTACATTATTATTGCTTTACCAGAAGACACGATCTTTTATCTTTCCTGCAATTTCAAACTTTACTTTTTCTCTATCCTGGCGAGACATAACAAGGAGGAAAACAACCTATTATAATAAAGGACGTATGGTGTGGGTGTGTGTGGGTGGTGTGGGTGTGGGGGGGGTGGGTGTGTGGGGGTGGGGTGGGGGTGGGGTGTGTGGGGGTGGGGGTGGGGTGTGTGTGTGTGTGTGTGGTGTGTGTGTGTGTGTGGTGTGTGGGTGTGGGGTGTGTGTGGGTGTGTGTGTGTGTGGGTGTGTGTGTGGTGTGTGTGTGTGTTTTGAAGGTCGAGATAGACTACTCTAAAACATCGCATTTCTTCTACACTACAAATGGTAACCAAATGTCGGCCTGTAGAGTCTTGCAAACTTCTGAGGTCGTTCTCACAGATCTGATATTATCCTCCCTCAAGGAAACTGGTGTGGGGAAATGGGGAAGAAGGGAAGGAAGGTGGAAGGGAAAGGGGGAGGGGAAGTGAGAGGGAAGAGGAGATGACATTAAAATGGATTCCGTCAGTCCAATCATCCACCTGTTTCAATTCTGTTTCTGAAGCCTAACTCTAAAGCTGTTTCGTCAACCTTCGAACAGATTGATCTAGACAAATAATACATTCATAAGGTTGTGGTTTTGTTTACAAGACGATAGTGCTCACGTTGTGTTCGCCCATGACAATTAACAACGCATTATAACCCTCGCCAGCTGCTAATACGAGGCAAAGATGACGTCACAAGTCTTACACAAACTGCCATGTAACTGGTTAAATTTCATCAGTACTATAATTAGGGAAGATTACTTTAAAAATTATTTGATTATTTGGATACCAGACGTTGCATCTTGTTTACAGTATTGGTAACACAGAGATCCTTTATATAAAATCCTTTGACCCCAACTTTAAGCATTTGTCGTACGTTATAACCACTTTAATTATGTATAGTAATATGTGTGAGTGTTTTTTTGGTGTGTGTGTGTGTGTGTGTGTGTGAATAGGTTTGAATGTGTGAGTGTATGTGAGTCAACAAGTGGGTCAGAGAGCGTCACGAGGGAGAGAGAAGGGAGAGGAGGGAGGGAGGGAGGGAGAGGAGAGACTATCACCACCACTGTCCCTCACAATGACCCACAACTAACAAGAGAACGTTTAGTACAGGACCCTTCTCTATCCTTCCACCACCATCACCACCACCACCACCACCATCACTACGACTTTCACCACCACCTCCTCCACCACACCGTCACTACTGGCAGGAAGACGACTGGCCATCCCATTGGCGTAACTTCCACCAGACGTGTCATTCCATCATGCCACATCCCTGTACGTCATGCCACACCCACTCCAACACTGTGTCGTCATCAAGTGTGTCCTGTACCTGTGTGTGTGTGTGTGTGTGTGTGTATTAGCTATGCAGGAGTATGTGTCAGTGCAACTCAGATCATATCAATCTCGGCTCGTCGCCACAGTCTTCTCACAGCGACAGGCACACTATACAAATTTTACTGACTCATAAAGCTGATGAAAGCCTCCTCTCTCCTTCCTTCCTTCCTTCCTTCCTTCCTTCCTCTACCACACTCCCTCCTTCCTTTCTCTACCACTCCCTCCTTCCCCCTCTCTGGTTATCAACACAAACTACACCATCACCCCGCCATCCTCCTTCTCGCAGCCAATTTTCCTCAGGTGTACAAGCACTCGTATACTAACTAAAAAGAGTCTTGTTCTGCCTAATGGCTGTAAAGTTGTTGGATTTTCCGTGGTGAGTGAAGCTGCCAGGCGTCAAAGTGGAGGAAATCCGTCATTTGTTCTGTTCTTCCTGACAAAAAAATATATATATATTTACCTGGATGACATCGTTGGCGCGTTACCAGACTTGATATTCCTG